AAAAAAAAAGAATCACACCTCTTCCAGGTCAGATATGAGTAATAAAGAATGATGAAAGGAGCGGTAATAACCGGAGCAAAGAGGTCAACGGCAAGTACTTGTGTAGTCTTTTCGATATCTTGAGTTAAACGCTGATCACTGCAAGCATATTAAGTCAAATGCGTTTTGAAGTGAACGTGATACAAAAGTTCCAAGCGACAACTAAAGAACAAAGATCAGGAACTTACATATTATCGAGGCCTTCAGAAACGGTTCCCAGTTTATAAAAGGCTCTCCTTTTGAAGTAGAGTCTGTGCAGCGTGTACGTGCATAATTCTCGACATTTAATAGCAAGGATGGATGTAAAATATTTTATGGACGCCAGTGACTACAAAAAATTGTTACGGAGTATGCAGATAAACATGTGAAGTAAAAGACTTACCAGTGACTTAGCTATGACTATGATTGTAGCTTTTGCAATTAGCAGATGAAAAGCTGAGAGATCTCTATTTCCAAGAACCACGTAAAACTGACTAGGTAGGATTCCAACAAAATATGTTCCTATTTGATCTGAAACGATATCCAAATAAGAGAAAAAAGTTACTTGATCTCTGACCATATTAGATTTCTTATTACCAACTGATTTCTTTGCAGCAGATGCGCTATACCTTACCATAACATTTTTGAAGTTCCGCTTGGACCCACTGGTTGCTTATCGGTACAAATATTATGGGCATTTTCACACGACAATGAACGCAGTAGTTGAAAATTAATAAATGCGATAAGCTTACTCCTTCCTTCCAAGGCTAAGTAGTCAGAGATGAATGAGTAGAGTTATGCACAGAAACGTTATTTATGCTCATTTGCTTATTATTAACTATAGCACGCCTTGTGAAGTTTCATTTGAAAACTTAATAATGGATGAATCACTCGGACACGTCTAGCTTAACACGCCCACTCACTGATCCTCCCTTCAGCATAGGTCGTGTTTGGCCTCTCGCGCAAGAGGTGCTTGCGAGAAAATTAGTCGTTTTGACACATGGCCAAATTGCGTCTTTGCAACTCATCCACATTAATCCGAGAAGGTCCAAAATCTCTGTATTTCACTTTCAATGCCACTGAAGCTCGTAATATGTTCATCATACCGAAGCGAATCGGCAAAAGGATACTCAAAGTTGAAAGTGTACACTGCTAAACAGAGTGTGAAAGAAAGGAAAAAATGGACGTAAAGAGCGAAAGGTTACGCGGAGGATCAAATATATCATACGAATAAAAGTCAAAAACAACAAGTATCAATCACTCACTAGTAACATTTTATTGCAAACGATTCTCTAATATCTTTGAGTAAGGATGGAAACAGATCGATTCTTCACAGAATTATCAAAGTATGAAGATTTTATTCTCAATTAGCTTAGATCTCCTAGTAATTAATTAGCTAAAAATGTTATATGAGCCACCGATTTACTTATTCCTCTAAGTTAAGATATATACATCTTAAAAATTTTCTCAATGTTGTTCAGCTAAATATTTATAAGAGCTTTGTTTCTTGGCGCACACATAAAAAAGGGTATTGATGCAAGAATGTTGTTCACAGTTCCACCGCTTTCCCACACACAACTCAGTTGCTTAAGGTCTTTAATTCCGAGTAGCATCAGAACTTGAAGTTTTTCAATTTAATCCACCAACATAGAACTGAGAACAAGCACGGTGCATTGCGCCGCGCAATCAAGCAGCGTTACATCGGAATTTGCTCAAACTGTTGTGGGGAAGAGGTTGGAGAAAGCGTAGTACAACATTAGTAAGAAAAGGTGAAAGAGAAAATTAAAAGGGTCGTGTGCGACTCATTAAGTGTTAAGTGACCCATGCTAAGAGATAGATGACAAGAAGTTCATTTTCCAGATAAATGAAATAGATAAACTATAAGAGAAGAAGAGTTAATTTAGAAAGGAAGAATATCACTGTAGAGTTTAGAGAAAGCACCTAGAAAACTCATAACTATTATCAAATGAGGACATAAAAAGCGTAAAAGAAAATAACCATTATATTGAAAACAACTAGGTAACAAAATCGCACAACTTCGAAACGAACCCAACTTTTCGATTATTTGCATGCACACTACGTCAAAAAACGTGATTACTTGAACTAACGCGCACCACATAAAAACATTTCTTTCACATCTGTTTTTAATGGAACTTAAGAAAGAAAGGTCTTTCCAGTGGTAGCCGCTTGCCTCTAATCAAAGCTTTTTTTCAATATTTGACAAAAAGGAACAACAAACGACAGATCGTCTATAATCAAGTTATTTAAGAAACTTACCCAAAAACGATGTGATGAGTACGACAAGTGCAAGCCATGCTGTTCTTGAATGTCGATTAAGAGGGAATAGAAGCTTCAATAAGGTACCCAACCGTCGGATAAACAGCATATCCAACGACAGAGTCCCCATTTTCAAGTTGCCCGATAAGGTCAAGACCCTCAAAATAATCGCTAGCATTATTGCACATGCGAGAAGTTGACCGTGAGTAGTAGGAAGGCGCCAAGACGTTTGAAAGTCTGGCAGTAAAACAGAAACAGGTGACATTTGTTAAGTGATGACCACGATAAGCAACAT